AATATCGTGGAGCTGCGCACGCTGGATGCAATGTAAACTATAAAAATTCACATGAAATACCAGCGATATTTCACAATCTTTCGGGGTATGATGCTCATTTTATAATTGTGGATTTGGTGAAGGAGTTCAATGGATCTGTCGAATTGCTGCCTCTAACAAAAGAAAAGTGCATTTCATTCAAGAAATCGATCCCACAGACAAAAGTCAGTTTGAGATTCATTGATTCATTTAGATTTATGGCAAGTAGCCTGGAAAAATTGGCCTCCTACTTGGCGGATGAAGATAAAATAATTACACGAGCACATTGCAACGCTGAGCAATTCCATTTATTAATGCGGAAAGGTGTATTTCCATATGAATATTTGGATAATTGGGATAAATTGAATGATGGGGAATTACCATCGAGTGCAGCTTTTTTTTCCACACTGAACAATCGAGAAATTTCAGTGGAAGATTATGCCCATGCGCAGGAAGTTTGGAAGAAATTTAGTATCACAACACTTGGAGAATATTCTGATCTCTACTTGAAAACTGATGTTCTCCTCTTGACCGATATTTTTGAGAATTTTCGAAAAAGTTGTTTCGCAGTCTACAAACTCGACCCACTGCACTACTACACCGCACCTGGAATGGCATTCGATGCAATGCTCAAATGCACTAGAGTGGAAATTGAATTTTTTACAGAGGCTGATAAGCTCTTATTTATTGAGAAAGGGATCAGAGGTGGTGTAGCTCAATGCACAAATCGCTATGCTCATGCCAATAATCGATATATGGGTGAGAATTATAATCCAAACGAAGAGGAGTCCTATCTCATGTACTTTGATGTCAACAATTTATATGGAGCAGCTATGAGTCAGTACTTGCCCTTGGGTGCATTTGAGTGGGAAAATGTCGATGGATTCAATATCCTCGATGTACCCGATGATTCACCGATTGGATTTATTTTGGAGGTGGACTTGGAGTATCCTAAAGAGCTGCATGATGTACACAAGGACTTGCCACTATGTCCTGAGCATTTCATTCCACCAAATCGCAAGAATACCAAGCTCATGACAACACTCTATGATAAAAGAGACTATATAATTCATTATCGAAATTTGAAGCAATGCCTGAGCCTTGGTATGCGATTAACGAAGATTCATCGAATCTTAAAATTCAAGCAAGCAGCATGGCTCAAGCCCTACATCGATTTGAATACAGAGATGCGAACAAAATCGACAAATGAATTTGAAAAGAATTTTTTCAAATTAATGAACAATGCGGTGTTTGGGAAAACAATGGAAAATGTGAGAAAGCACAGAGATGTCAAGTTGATTACCAAATGGGATGGAAGATATGGTGCGAGAGCTTACATTGCTCAACCAAATTTCCACAGCAGCCTAATTTTCGATGATAATATGGTGATCATTGAGCTGAAACGAGTTCAAATCCAGTTCAATAAACCAATTTACATTGGATTTGCCATCTTGGACTTGTCAAAAATTTACATCTACGA